CTCTCTCTCTATCTCTTGATATATATATATATATATATATATATATGTTGGTGTAGGCCCACTAGCCTACAACTACATATAGGCCCAACGGCCCAAATTCAATCTAGGAATATCTGATGAATATGACCTCATTTCGTATTTTAATTTTGATTTTTTTCTGCAAATCCAAATCATGTGAAATTTTAAACATCTATTTCTTCTCATCAACGCGCACTTAATAAAAATATTAAAAAAATAATTTGTAAAATATAAATTGACCAAAATATCTTTGCAATATTTTGGGGGTATTTTGGTCAATTTATTTTTCAAGAAATATTTTTTATATTTTTATTGGATTCTAATATTTTTAAAGAACACGTGCCCAATATTTCAAGTGATTTGGATTTATATAAAAAAATTAAAATTAAAATATTAAATACAATCGTGATCATTGGATTGGCCCAGATTGAATTTGGGTTGTTGGGCCTATATGTAGGCTAGTGGGCATACGCCAGGATTTCCCATATATATATATTTCATGCAACGATTGTATAGTAGTATAATGCAACCATCTTCAAAAACCGTGTTAGAGACATTTGTTTGACACAAATTTTTAATGTACACTCTTTTCATTCTAAAAAACAATCACGAAAAAGAAACTTTTGAAAACAAGCCTTAGAAAGTGTTTTTCTATCCCAATTAATATACACCGTCCAGTTTAGTGAGATGGTTAGATATAGGCCTTAGAATGATTTTTTTATTCCCAAAATTTTTATATAGCATTATCATCATTAGATTAACAATGTTGAAAAAAGAAAAAAGTAATTTTGAATTTGTTAAGGCATAGATCTTGAAGTTCACCAAATGGATGGTTGAGATTCATTGTTGGAGGCTACTAATTTTGACCATATCTAGGGTGAAAATTGATTTAATAGGATTGATTATAGGGATGAAGAGCATGTGTGTGCAAAATTTGAGGTCATACAAATGCCAAAAACATGATTTTCTAGAGATGTGGTTGCACCATATCTAGGGTGCCAAAAATATGGTTTTCTAGAGATGTGGTTTCTAGATATGCGGTTTCCTTACTCTGTGGCTATAGCATATGACATATGGTGCCATAGCATATGGTATATAGCTTTATTTAAAGAGAAACGTTTATATAGAGCCGAGGCTCTAAACAATCAAATTAGAGCCTACCTCAAAAATTTCAGTAAAATATGTTGATTTGATGCCCACATATCCTCAAATTGATCATCTCGACATCAAGATGCATGGACATGAGAAAAAAATGGATTTCAAGTTTTGGACATAGTGTATTTTGTAACGCATTTTTTTACTGTCAATTTTCAAGATTTTCAAGTTTTCATATATATGTCGATTTACACTATCTGTTAAGCTTTAAACTTTATAAATAACAATGAAAATATATTTTAAGGATATGACAAATATTTCCAGTATTGAAACTATATTTCTCGACACTATTTAGAGGTAGGCTCAAATTTGATTGTTTAGAGCCTAGGCTCTATACAAACCGCACCCTTATTTAAATGGATGTTGTCGTTGATGTATCTAGCTGGGCCCAAATGTAGTTATCATTCCTTCCTAAGATTTTGTCATCACTTGGGATGATTATCTGTCATTAGGACTACATTGTCTTATTTTTGGCCAAGTTTTTATGATGTTCAAAGTTTTATTGATGTCAGAATAGCTTGTACATGTCAATATATAAGGGAGAGCCTCCTGATTTTATTTGGCAATTATAATTAATTTAATATGATGCATATGATAATTTTTACATGACATGGGTCATGTCCTTGGCAGGTTATAAGGAGCGGACTCCCCAATTTCTGTGCTGTGGCACTTGCACTTCATGATTTAGGGTATGTTAAGGAGTTTGTTGTAACACAGTAATTCAACAAATTATATTGGTAAATTTCGTTAATTTGACTGGTAACTTGTTGCTGAAAGATACACACCTTTGTGTCATTTTCGTTTTGGACTTTGATATTCTGTTTTTATGATTCTCATTTGATATTTGATGAATTAATTGACCCTGTGCAAATTTTCTTCGACAAGGTTATCTGGAACTTCGTAGACCCTCCTTTTCTTCTTAATGTGACATCTATAGGCACAGGGCCTAACTTGATTGTTGATGGTCTAGAAAATTGGGTTTTTGCCCTTTGTATAAGACTCAAAAATCATTTGGGCTAGAAGTTTTCTCTTAAAATTGAAAAAGTTAGCAATAGATTTATTGGCTACAAGGTTATCATAAGTTCTCTGCTGAACATTCATAAAATATTTGATTTGATGCTTGCATTCTTCCTCCCATTTGCAACTTGCGAAAATCTTGTTGTCCTGTGTTTTTGTGCGTTTAGAGGCACAATTCTCTTAGCCTAAATTTAGATCTAAGTAGGAGTTTCCTGTAGATTCAAATTTCACAATAATTCTCTCTCATTCCTGAAAATGCAATTTTTTAGTTTCTTCCCATGCTATGTTATAATTTATTCGTTTTTCCTTATTAGATTTAGCTGTTACAATTATGATTATTTGGTTCAGGTATAAAGCAAATGGCATCAGGTTAGATTCTGGTGACCTAGCATATCTGTCAGTTGAGGCTCGGAAGTTCTTTTGTGCCATTGAAAAGGAATTTCAGATTCCTAGCTTTGGAAGAATGGCGATTACTGCTAGCAATGATCTCAATGAGGAAACATTGGATGCCCTAAACAAGCAGGTAAATTTTTAAGAATTATCATCACTAGAGATCCTTAACACTGAAATAATGAGCAAATTAAGGCAACAATATAAAATATAGCTGCACAAAGCTCTATAATTAGAAGCTTGTTTTCCCTTTGAATTCTTTCTAGACTTGAAAATATGCTTTCTACATGATTTGGCCTCATTTGTGAGATTGGAGTTCTTGGTTCAATTCTATAATAGTGCACTCATATGTAACTCTGCTTTATCAAGAGTTTAATTTTTTCTGAGGTCTGAAAAAGCAGACTTCTGGTTGCAATTTGGTTGACTTATGTCCTGCAATTGCATATTTTTCTCAATTATTTGGCTCTGATTGGAGACTTCTTTTTGGGGGACTCTCCTAGAATGAAATCTTTTTACTCCTGGCAATTTAACTTTTTGTAAGAGTTAAAATTTGCAACCCTCATTTTGTTTAGAATGTATTGATATTTTATTTTACAAGCCCCGTGTAGCTTGTTTTTCCTACAGCATTGTTCATTGAAAGGAGTTTTTAAATATGGTGACCAAGATACAAGTGAACATTCTCCAAAAAACCGAATATGGTGGCCAAGATTCTGGCACCAGTATTTAATATTAGCTTGTCAATTTGATTGCTTCAAATTGTTATAATCTCATAAATTCTTAAATTTTGTATGCCTTCATTTTGTGTGCAGGGTCATGAAGTGAATGCATTTGGTATTGGCACGCATCTTGTCACGTGCTATGCTCAAGCAGCTCTTGGGTGTGTTTTCAAATTGGTTGAGATAAATGACCAGCCTCGTATTAAACTTTCTGAAGATGTTACCAAGGTTCAATCATGTCCCTAGCAAGTGCGTGTGTGTGTGTGGGTGTATGTTTGAGCATACTTGCATTATCTATTATTTCGAGCTGCTTTACGGATTTTTCTTGATGCAGGTTTCAATCCCTTGTAAAAAACGATGTTACAGATTGTATGGTAGAGAGGGATATCCTTTAGTGGACATAATGACTGGGGAAAATGAACCACCTCCAAAGGTACGTCTCACATTTTTGCATTTGCTTTAAGTTATATTTCAGGAACCTGGGGCTGCTTTGCATTTCGTCAACTGTCCTTTATTCTCCTTATTTATGATGCTATGATGCTTGACACCAAGAGCCGCTTTTAATAATGAAAAAATTTGACATTTTGACGCCTTCCTACAAAATGCTGATACTCAGTGCATATGGCATCTCTTTTAATTAGTCATTTTAATTCAAAATACAGGTTGCAGAACGAATTCTTTGCAGACACCCATTTAACGAATCTAAACGAGCTTATGTCGTTCCACAACAAGTTGAGGAACTTCTGAAGTGCTATTGGCCTGGAAACTCAGGTATTTAATATCATGTCAAGATGCTGAAATTTTCCAACTTTTCAGTTTGGATTATCATATCATCTCTTTCTTGAAATGAATTTATCAAAGTAGTATATAGCTTGCAATGATTCCATGGTGAATCAACATGATTTTGTCAATGATTTATAAATATAGCTTATTTATTATGGCTGCTAATGTGTTTGGTTATGCTTCTTGTTTTAGCTGATTTATCACACTATTTGTGTACACAATAATGTGGATTTCTTTCATAATTCTCTGATTGTGGCATGCATCCAGAACTTTTATCCCTCAAACCTCAAAAAAGAAAATTGTAGTCCTCCATTGAAGTTAACTATTAAAAGATATTTTCTGTAGCAAAAATTTAAAAAACAAGTGAATGTTCAAAGCTTTTCTATAAACTCCAGTCAAAGAAAAATGTATAGTCAGATTTATATACTGATTATAGCTCTAATGATTTGGAAGATTACCGGTCTTCCATGCATCTTCTCTTGGATAATATTTTTATTATTTCAGAATTAAGGAGCAAATAACATTTGAATCAGTGGGCAAATTTTACAAATGAAAAATCAAGATGTGCCCAAGTTTTTTTTTTATATCTTTTTTTTTTTTTTAGATATGAATGGTCTCTTCTATAAGGCTATTTGCATTGTGGAATGCTTCGTTGACGATCTGGGTTCAATTCCCATAATTAAAGCATTGTTTTGTTAAAAATCTCGCTTAGTTTTTCAACATATACTGTTCCACTGAGTTTTAGCAGTGTCCGAGTTGGTCACCATGTTGTGGTTCTTAAACACAAATGGGAATTTAATTGTTTTTCTCACCCTAAAGAAAACAACTCATGCATTAGGTAACAGCTCTTTATTTTTTAGAATGCAAATGTTCAGCTAGAATACTAATGCTTTTTTCAGTCTGTATGATACAAGCATATGGATCAAATTTACCAAATAGATTCAATATGAAGTGGTGCTGATCAAGTACGGATGTGCACAAACAAACTACCTTTCGAGAGGAAGCGAATGCTTCTGCATTTCATGTCTTTCAAGGGAGCACCTCCTGTTTGAAAAACCTTATTCTTAGTGTTTTAAAAACCGAACTGGTCATCGGCCAAACCAAGCAGGCTCGGCTGGTTCTGATCCCATTCACCTGTTCTCCGGGGTTCTTTTGTAATTTAAAAAAAAAAAAGTGGGAACCGGGCGAGTCCGGGGGATCTTTAGACCTTGACACCCACCCACCCACGAGTTCTGAGACCAGCTTACAGGTTTTTAAAATGCTGCTTCTAATAAATCATCCAAAAATTTTAAGAGAACATCAAAAGGGAAGTTCTGAAAATCCTAATTGCCCTTTTATAGTTTATCTACTAATTTTGAAATAAGCTTTACAACTCCTAAAATAGACTAAGACATGAAAATAAACAAAGTTACATTTTTAGGTTGAACTAATATCAAATGTCTGGCAATAGTCACAAGATGTTTCTGGATTGCACACAAGTATATTTCACTGTGAAACCTCGAAAATAGGGTCAGAGGCATACTCCATGGAGGATTTCAATCAAAAGAAGAAAAAAAAATTCTGGTTAGAAAAGATATTTGAATGAAGGTGAAAGTGGTGTAGAGCAGGAGATTTCTTTGGGTATATTTATAGGTACCCATCCTTGTACTACTAGCTGTAACATTCTATGGCAGAATATTGATTCATCCTATTTTTCTCAGACTAATACCAATAGGGTGGAATTATTGTATGGCATCTGTGTTTTTGTCATGATATTACACTCCATTTTTGCTTCCCTTTCTATTTTCACCATCTTTTAAGTCTGTCCATTTATCTTTTTTGAGTATTACAACCCAAAAATTATATTTATCAATGCAAAAAGAAGGTAGAGATGTAATCTTCACTTTGCATGATTATCTTTTTCTTTTATTTTGTTTTGAAGGCGAGCATGACCTGTGTTTAGGATACTGAACTTTGACTGGAATGATATGAAAATGGATGCTGAATTTGTTTGGAATGATATGAAAATGGAAGGATACTTGCAAGTTGAAATTTACATAGCTGTTGGAGTTGAATAAATTTTGCTTGTACCTGTATACTAATCAGTTGTTTTACTTATTAATCTTCTCTCCAATGGAGGTAAAGAAAGAGAACCATTACCAACACTCGAGAAAATCAGGGAGAAATGCATAAACCATTTGAATCAGATGCGGCCTGATCACATGAGGAGATTAAACCCAACACCTTACAAGGTCTCTCTCCCCCTTTCTCTCTCTTTCTCTCTTTCTCTTGAACACATGAGGAGATTAAACCCAACACCTTACAAGGTCTCTCTCTCTCTCTCATCTGGTTATCTTCCCTCATTTGCCTTTTTATTTAATCTCATCCATGTGGTTATCTTCCCTCATTTTCCTTTTTATTCTATCTCATCCATAATCTCCTTCACCCTGAGCAGGTAAGTGTTAGTGCACAGCTATACGATTTCATTCATTTGCTATGGCTGAGCGAGGCACCAGTTGGGGAGTTGCAGTAAGGGTCCAGAGAGCTTCTCAACAAAAGCAGGAAGCAAATGGAATTTTTTTGACCCACACATTGTTTGATGGATAGAGCTGTGGGTTCAATGCAGGAATCGGGTTGGTTAGTGTTTGTAATTTTTAAATCATGGAATAAGCTGTCGCTATCGTTATTGTGAGTCCCTGTGGTATGTTAAACAATAAGTAAACAGCAGAGGATCATGATATGCCCAATTTTCATAGTTGAACCTTCTAATAGTTGAACAAGACTTAATATAAATTGATGAATTTTGGAGAATGCCTGCTCGCATGAATTGGTGAGTTTTTTGGGGAATGCATATCTTACCTATCTTTTGTTTTTTTTTTAAATTTTTATGTTCGATGGAGAAGATGGGTTGGAACATGTAAATTACTGGTTGCAACAAGCAGCAGCTCTCTGCGCGGCTTTCGGGCTGTGTACCAAACATTACTTGCATAACAGTCCTACTTCATCTTTATCCTGCCTGTGTCAAATATTATCTTCATCAGATGAGAGTTCAGCACAGAAATATTTTGGCTGAAGTTTATGTCCAGCTCTTGCCAGTCCATGTTGATAACTTCACATAAATTTTACAAGAACCATTTGTTTGGTAATAAATAAGCAAATGCTTTATTCTTTATTCTACATTTTACCCACGGTTCGAAAATCTGTCTTGAAGTGTGCGTCCTCCAATATATATGTTCTAGACAATTACTCATCATAGTCATCAGGAGTGAAGGGATTGGTCTGATCAAACGAGTCTGACGGCTAATTGAACTGGTTTGAAGGGTTTTAAAATTTAATTATATATAAATAATATTTTAAAATGTAATATATTAGAAAAGATATATTGCCTAACTTTGTTTGCCAAGTCGACCCAATTGAAACTGGCCAGCTGCATTCACTGAAATCAGTGGAACACTGGTTTTGACAAGTTCATAATTAAACTTAGACCAGACCAGTGGAGGTACTGGTTCGCACTTCGACTGGTCTGATCACCGAGTCTGGTCCAATCTTGATAGCTATGGTTTGATTTCAAGAGCTAGTTAATAATACTGGGTGATGGGGTCAAATATTTCGAAGTTTTCAAAAAATATGCCGGTAGCACATCGATATATCAAGTTTCAAATTTTACAAAAACAAAACGGTATTGTCTGGTATGGTGTTTTATATTTGACATGTTTCAAAATTATCGTTGAATGTATTTTTTGTAAATCTGGAAAGTATATATTATAAACTTGCCATGATTTATTTTGTAGCAGGTTAACCATTTGGTGATTTTCCTATCTGGAAAAACAATTACTGTTTACTTTCCCAATGGGACAGTTTCTATGTGGCCAGCGTGCATATTTGTTGAAATGTGGGTTTGGCAATAGATATATTTTTTAAATATAATTTGATTTTAATTTTTAGAGAACATATAATCTTTAACATGGCGATCATGAATATGACAATAATAAATAAATAAACTGAAAAAAATAATTATTTTGGACGTTTAGTTCCCAATTTCATCTCGGTTATGTTGGCAGTTAGACTTGATTTTAAATGCGCCTCTTTTATTTTGCTTCTCAACATAGGGCATACTACAATCCTTTGTGTGCTCCACTATTTTATTTTGTTTTTTATAATGGTACTACTTTTATTTGTTCTGCGACCAAGCATTAGAAATTAGAGGAAATTTATCAAAATATCCATATAAGAGACACCTTGTTTAAATTATTTGTAACTTGAGATGTGTTTTGAAATTAAATCAAACTATATAGATAAAATATTAATAATTCATCTCTCATAAGTAGTTGATAAATTTTCCATTCACATATAGTAGTATGCTGTATACAGTAATATCATTGAATATCAACCCTTCATTCACAATCAGCAATCTGACTTAGTGTCCGACAATGGATGCTATCCAATCACCATCATTCATCATCGAAGTTGATAGTTGGGTGGGAACCGCTAGTGGTTTAAGCCCCAAAAATTTAAAAAAAAGTAGATGGTGGGGTGGGACTGTGGGAGCCCGTCTTCAATTGTTGGAACTTGTAGATGGTAAATGGAACGATATCCTCCCTCTTTTAATGCAAATTTGAGAATTGGCCAAGACAAATAAAGTGTCGATGAAATCAACGTACAAAAGCGGTGGAGTTTCAATACAATCAATTGCCTTGCATAATAAAACACAATCAACTACTTGTTAGGTGCATAAATTGAGAGAGTTTTATGCCCGTACCCCACAAGTATTGGTATATCAATGTTTCAAAAATATCAGTTCGGATTGGAATTGCTCGCTTCTTATCATGAATGGGTAGAAAAGTATTGGATGGCTGGTTCCCCACATAATAACCTGTTTTATGAGAAAACTCGTCGATTTTGTCAAAGGATCCAAATCGCTCTGGTTTTCGAGATTTATATCATTTTTCTATTTTTTCAGAAGAAAAAAATTATTGATTGATTCTCACCCAAGAGAATATGTCGGGTTACCAATCCAAATCAATGTCATATGCTTCCCCCTAAAATTTATAATTTATATTTAAACCCCCCTTTTTTTTTCTTGTATGTTCCTAAAATGAGCCACTTAAGGTCCGAAGTGGTAAAGAAGCGTTCGACTTCGAAGTCTTTAAGAACCAAATTCAAGTTAAAAGTCCCTCCAATCAGTGATTCAAAAAGCGGATCTATTGGGGTTTTTTAAAAAAATTTGAGTCGCATATTTGACTGACCATCCTTTTTTTATTCGACTGGGCCGTCCAGGTTATGGGTACCCGTCTAGACGTTGGGCGGCCTGGACCCCTAGGCTGCCTAAGACCCGCCTAGCGCATGGATTCGACTGGGCCGTCCAAATTCTGGGTGCCCACCTAGGCGTTGATTGGCTTGGACCCCAGACCGCCTACGACCGCCTACCGTTTTTTTAAACTATGCCTCCAATCTTTAAAATCCATGGTCAAGTTAAAAAGAAAATAGTGAGCCAAATTCAAGTTAAAAGTCCCATCCAATCTTTAAAATCCACGGTCGAGTTAAAAAAAAAATAATTTCAATCTTCGCTAAAACTCTTGAAGATACAAAGTCAAAATCTTTAAACGTTGAATTCAAATTTTCAAGATCCCAAATCAAAACCTAGAATCCATTTTAAAACTTGAAAGTCCGAAATCAAAATACTCTACTACTTCGATATGAAGCCATTCCTCAAAATCCAAAGCGGAATACTTAAAAATAATAATAATAAGAATTTTTGGGAGGAAAATGATGTAATAACGGATATCCAGGGGCATCAACATAAATCAGAGGTATCTCGTTATCCGCTGTGTACTCGTGTATTTACAAAAGCAAATTCGGTCAATACACCAATCATCACGGGAGTAAGTTGTGACTCATCTTGCAAAACCACGTGTGCACAGGGAATCCCACACGACATACGATAAAACCCCTGTGTGCCAAATGCAGAGAAGTGCGATCGATCGAAATGAGTTCTTGTTTACCATCAATGTCAGCAGTTTAGTTGCAGCGAGAGATAGAAAACATCGATAGAAGTGGAAGAAGAGTAGAGAGAGAAAACATCTTGGGTAGAGTAGAGGGCTGGGCAAAGAAACAAAGAAAGCGAAAATTAGGGCAAAATCCAGATATCACAATCAAGGAAGGCAAAAGCATCTGGTAGAGAGAGAGTGGGATCATGGATGAGGAGAAGGAGCCTGGGCGCTGCCGGCGAACGGACGGGAAGATGTGGCGGTGCTCGAGAGACGTCGTCCCAGACCAGAAATACTGCGAGCGGCACCTCCACAGGGGCAGCACCACCGGCGCTCGTTCAAGAAAGCCTGTGGAACAACCTCCACAATCGCAAAATCAACAAGAAGAAGAAGAAAAACACAATCCTGTAACTACACCAACAAAACCCCTGACCTCACAACAAGCATCACAAAATTCCACTACAAAACCCTCAAAAATCACGGTTCCATCCGAAACAACCGATTCTCCCATGACATCAAAGCCCTCGAAAACTGCCACCACTTCATCCCAAACACCCCCTACTAAAGATTTGGTCGCGAAAACGACAACAAAACCCTCAAAAACCACCCCTTCCCAGACGTCGACTGCAACTCCGCCCTCTGATGATGCAACTGTCCCGCTGCCAAGGAGCCCCTCATCAGGTGTGGATCCAGGGCGCTGCCAGCGGACGGATGGGAAGAGGTGGCGGTGCTCGAAGGATGCGTTGCCAAATAAAAAGTACTGTGAAGGGCATGTCCACAGGGGACGCGTTTATTACAAAAATCTCGAAAAGAAACCAAAAACTGCCTCTGATATGCCATCCACTGCAGATACAAATGTGAAAACTTAGTACTTTTGAATTAGTGCATATTGCGTATGCTTTAGCGCCACTAGTCTCACGAATTGGTGTTTGACCTGGTTCCAATACAGTCAAGATTTAGGGTTTTGCTCTGGTTCTCATTCATTTGACAATTAACGTTTGATTCATGTGAGACACTCAGAACTGAGAATTTGGGTTTGAACCTGGTGAGACAACACTCAGAACCTAGGATTAGGGGAGGTTTCCTAGGATTAGGGGAGGTTTGACGTTGATGTTATTTGCTGGCCCCAGAGTTGGCTTTTTGCTCCCAATTAACAACGAATAGGTTTTCTGAGACTGGCTCAGGAATTAGGGTTTGTGGGAGGCAAAACCCAGCTGTTGCATGATTTTGTACTAGTATGAATTTGTGATATCTGACTATATAACTATATATCCATGTAATTAACTTATTAACTTGTGTTTGAATATTTGGTGACATGAATTACATCTGCTTCTTTGGCAATTTGCTTTAATTGGTTGCATGCTGATTAAATTTGGTGATCTGTTGCTTGCTGTGGTTTTATGTTAATGGTGAATGCAAATTTGGAGAAAGATTGAGAATGATCAAATTGCAGTTTGCCGGTTCTTTTAGCAGGTAAAGAGATTTAGTGAATTCATCTCTTAGGAGTACTGAGTTGGTTGATGTTTGATGCATTATGGGGAATGTCTCATCAAAGCTGGTTTTGTATGGTAAATGCAGTAGTTCAGACTGAGAACTTACCAAAAAGACAGATCTCACAAGTGGAAGCTCTGCTAGATTACCACCAAAAGCTATGCTTAAGTTATGCTAGATTATCACCAAAACTGGACTTAAATTCACACTTAGGAGCCTAACCCGGCTCGGTCAAATTCCGCTTAATTTCAATAAGAGGAACCTAACCTGCACGGTCGTCAATTTAGTGAATGTGATACTGATATCCAAGTATGTGCGAGTGCGTGGGAGACAAACTTGAATGGTAAGCTTGTATCAAACCAGAGAGTACATACAAGAGACAGCAAGCCATTTTTCTCTCCGGGTGACTTTTTCTTTCAGATAAATTAGTCCAACACGCATATTTTATATCGATTATAAGGACCTAACTAGGGCCAGCAATGAGCCCGATGGACTGGCCTGGGAGGTCTGGCCCCCAAAAAAATAGAGCCTGGGCCACAGTTTGTGGCCTGAGTGCCAGGCAAGGGCCAGTGCCAACCCAGTTCGGCGCGGCCCTCTTTTTTTCTTGTTTTTCTTTTATTTTTCTTCGATTGTTTTCTGCCAAGCCTGCCCTCAACAGGGCCACGCCTAGAACTAGCTCCATGGATACTAGGGCCAGGGCAAGAGCCAGCAGCGCCTGTTGCCACCCTTAACCTCTAATTAAACATTCAACAAAGCAGCCACATGCTCAAACCTTGCTTTGGCAATATTTACTCAATGGAACCTTTCTTTGGCAATTTTGGCCCCATGTTACAAGCGCCAGTGAATGTTAATACTCAATAAAATACAACCCAAAACCCTATTAGCATTAGACGCCATCAAGCCCACTTGTACAAGAGGTGCATTAACAACAGCAAGAGAAGAGAACCCCAAACACCAGTCAAACAGACACGCACAGGTCCTTGAGCCGGACCCAACCATATGCACAGCTCTCCCTAATTCTCTGTATTGTTGAGGATGCTGGCTCTACTAAGGGCCGGATGCTTGCAAGGTGCTTCTCAATTGCTATTCTCATACTGTATTCCAACTGCAACTAAACCACAAGAAAAGGAAACTTGTAAAATAAATAATTGTTCAGACATTACAAAATGAAGGCCAAATTATAAATAGAATCATGAAATTTTTAGAAACCTTTCCGATAAACCGTGCAGAATCCAACACATGACAGTAGTATGAGAGTTGCCTGTATAGCTCTGCCTCTGTATACTGTTTTTTCAAACAATAGAGCAAACACAGGTCCCCATAGTTAAACGGAAGGAAATTAATCGTGTTGTGCCAAAAAAGAAGCATGGCGTATTGAAGGCAGAAAGAATTAAAGTTTAGTACCTCTTTTATGAGATGGCCATTACAACGTGGAAAGTTTGGACATACCGTTCCTCTCTCTGATTCACCAATCACCCGCAGATTCAGAGTACGAGTGGTATGCTTACACATTTCGTCATCGCACTGGAGAACAAAATGCAGGTGTGTTTGAACAAGAATATTTGTGACAATTTCTAGCTGTGGCAGTTTTATGTCCTCTAAAAGCACTTTCACAATGTGACACTAGAAAATTCATGCTTATCAAGAGAAAAAATAAGTGGGTCAATATTTTCCTGGGAATTGAGATTCAAATGCAACCCAAAAAACTCATTCAAATTTGTTATCTGGCCTAAAGATCCATCATCCATTGCACATGTTTGTAATTGCACAGGAAAGAATACCATAGTCTAATGAGATACAGAAAACCAGTTGATTAGGGTCATGCCTATTAGAACAAGACCCGACCCCAATTGGTCAGACCCACGTGCTCTCACCCATCACCAGCATCCATCATTTCATGAGGGTCAAGACTTACAGAGAACTGTGATTTTCTGTAGTCTAATCTACTTACATTTACTGTGAAATAACATGGAGTGAAGACGTAGAATTTTGATGAGTACCATCATAAGTCCATCATAATACTTGGAGATGAACTTCTCTGCCTGCCTCTTCACCTGAGAAGGCAAGAGACTGGTGTAAATATCTCCAATTGGTTAATAATTTATGAAATAACACGAGTAGCCTAAAATTGCCAACCTGGTTTGCTATCATGGCCGGAGATATTCTGCTTCCATCACCCTCATCTGGGCATCTTGAACAGCGCAATCGGAGCCAGAAGTTACCACCTGGTTCTTCTTGTGTTTGAGATTCAGTCTTTTTTTGAGAAGCTAGAGCAGTTATTAAGCTGGACACTGTGGGGCACTCAAAACTAGCAGAGCAACTGGGACATGATATCCACAAAGGCTCACAACCCCGGTATCTGCATATTTCATTCAGTTTGTTGAAACGGAATGTGTGAGCTCTTGAACTTTATTTCTAGTATTAGACTGCAAAAAGGCCTATGTCTCGAGCAATATCAGAAGGCCATTAATTTCATCTTCTTAAAAAATCAAAAAAATATGTGATTTGTGAATACCACAAAAACACCCTCCCACTCCATTGACGCTTAGGGCATTAAGGGATAAATGATTTGAAAGTGGCATCCTTGTAAATTTTCAAATTTTGAGAAGAAAAACCAAAGAACAACATTAGAGAATTAAATCACCTGTCTTCATCATCAGCTGTACATAAAAGCAAACTAGAAGAATCTCTGTTCACTGATTCATCTATTTTATGTTGGAACTGGGGAAACAAAAATAAATCCATAAGGATACGTCCTCGTAGAGACACCTAAGGAAGGGTTCTTTCTAACAATCTCCTACAGGCTTACCTTGGATGACTCGATCCCAAGACAATCAGCCAGACGTGAAGGACTGGTGCCTTGAATCGTTGCACAAAGTCGTGATACCACAGGATGAATCTGCAAATCATATTGAATAGCTCAGCAACACAGACCCTTGACCTCAACTAATCAATAATGATACCAATAGAATGTTTAGAACAGTAAAGGAAACCATACTGATCCAATGGACTATGGAAAAACCACGGTCACTGGATCATTGCCATCAATTAAAATGATGAATGGTGAATACACCACTAAGGTCATATATTCAGATGATTCTCATTCTATCTCCATCACGACCCATTTTAATGGATGGATAACCCAAGAGACTATGGTTTTTTCAGCACTCACTCAGGTTAGATATCCGTTTCCCTAATAACAAAACGTTCATGGAGCAATGAAGCAAAGAAATACTTGAAGCTAACCTGCTGTGACAAGTAATACTCGATATCAACCATCCAATCCTCATTGTCCCTTTTCAGTTCATCAGGATGTCTAGCTCTTTGAGCTATTCCAGCAGAAGAACCAGATCCAGAACCCTGCCAAGTAGCAATTATCATATCATTGAAACAATCTACTGAACTAAGCTCATGGTGCAATACACATTTACCAATAATTGCAAATGATTATATCCTAAATCACCTTCACTCATGTAAAATCGACAAAGTTTAGCTGCCGAAAACAGCATATGCAATTTGGAAAACCAGATCACAAAATAGTTAAGAAGACCATCTCATATATCTGGCCTTTCCCTGTGCATTGACATAGCAGCCACTCAATTAGAAAGTTAACCATGATGGCAAACCATTATTTTCTAGACATCATCATATTCATGGGTTTATCAAACAGTACCAATGCAGTGGTAAGGCCCTGCTTAAGCATAGTGACCAACTAATAACTCAAAAAATCCAATAGATATTTCCCGCAAAATTTTCAAATATATTGATGAGGGCATAGCAGCTTCCCTGGGCTAGTTTAATTATTTTTTGTATTTACTCTGAAGGTCTACTCCAGACGTGGTGTGTCTTCAGAGCCAGTCGCTCTAGCAGATGCATGCACACCTACTGCGTCTGATGTGCCCACCAGAGCAGCAGTTTGATTCTCGTCCTACAGATGTAGCTGTCCCACTTTCTACCTCTTCCACGTTGTTCATCTTTTCTTCCCCTTCTACTTTCTATCCTCAAGAAAAAATTCCCTCCTTTCCTCTCTTTTCTTATCCTTCGTATCTTTTATTACATTTTCTCTCCCATGCCTTTTCTTTTTCCTTTTTTTTTTTTTCCTTATATCCCTTGGTCCTCTTCATCCTTATTTGTTTCTTTCCCCCTTTTCCCTTCTAATTTTTCTTCTCTCTTGTCTCCTCTTTTTCTACTTCCTTTCCCCTATTTTCTTCTTTCTTTATACTTTGCCTTACCATAACCTTCCAAACAACAACCATGCCCATTGACCATTCAAAGATCCATCAAACCCTAAAAGCAACTCCTAGGTTCTTAGAAACACCAAAACAAAATCTGTTGAAACCCTAAAGCCTAATTTTCTCTCTAAACTCAAAACCTAAACTTTTACTCCCATTAACCAAAAAACTTGGAACTAAATTGTGGGAGTCCTTCCAGAATTGACTTAAAGCATTCTGTGCCCCCCTCTTCACTCCAGGCTGTAGGCTAGCCTAAGACTTGATTGGAAACGATTTTGTTTGCCTGATTTTGTTGAAGGACAGATTTCCATCCATTCCAAATTTGAAATCTCACCTACCAGGATTAAAACAAGCTCCTGAATTGCATGTTTGGCTTACTGACAGTCATTTAATTTGTTTTGTAATATTACTGATGAAACTGTAGTTTTTTTTTACCTTGCTCGGATTTATAATGATCTCCAAACACACTGTAAAGTCCTGTAATCATAGATTAGTGAGTGGCTAAGTTGCATCATATATGCAATCACTTCAATACACAACAAACATTCATTCAAGATCACTAAAGTGTCTAATCACAAAATCATCTAATACTTGAGTTTTCCAACCAATAGAACAAAACCACACTTCTCAAGGGGAACAGGCCGTGACAATAAAGAGAAAGGACAGAAGAGACCATACTGGCTGGCAGCAAATAATATAAGGAACTGTATCACCGGCAGAGCAACCAATGCGATGCCCACTTTGCTTCAATCTCAATGCAACCTGCAGAGAAATAAACAGAGTATTTATACACAAACTGATCTCAAAGACGAAGAATGATGAGTATCAGCACAAATCATCACACCTGAACATGAGGTTGGTTTCTCGCATCTGCATAGTCCTCTGGTGGTTTAGTCAAGGATTTCGTAATCACATACTTATCAAGTTCGACTTCACCATTTCTCATCTCTTCTTGCACCTATTTGCAGGAGACTAGGATTTAGTACAACTACAAACATGAGCAAATTTGTCCATTCCATAAGTGAAAGTATCTTACAACAGTGGACCATGGGAAGACCATAATCCATAAGGTCATCACCTTCCATGAAAACACATAATGATGGAGAAAACAGGGACCCACCAAAACAACCACCACCTACAATGCTAGTTCTCTCTCCATTAGGGTCCATCATTTCAAAGGACAGTGATGAGCCAATGGAATATGATTTTTCCCCGTTCACCATTGGATTATCGTAAACTTTAGTATCATATGATAGGCGACCAAGTACCTTCATTAGATGGCCATGTATTGCTTCTACAACATCTTCACATGATCTGTGATGAAAGAAGAAAGGGAAAGACAAGACAACACAAATGAGGGAATATTTTAGGAACAAGCCTCTTTTTTTATGCAGTGAAACTGAATATAGAGATGCACTTACCCTCCAGATAATATATGGTTGAGACAGAAATCCCCTAGTTCCTTTGCTAGCAAACTCCAGTCACGACGTACTATGTCAAGACCCTTTCGTTCAATGACCTAATAGAAGGAAAAGTAACCAGTAACATTAACACCAAAAACTGATAAATTTTCAAAATCCCAACAGGTAACAGAGAAGTAATTTTCCACCTCATACAGTGACCCATCCTTGTTAAATAGCACTTTGACAGCGGCATATTTCTTTTTCTTGAGAAGGAGCATTCTCTTGTATAATCCATCAAGATCTATTTCTAAACACCTATACTTCTTGTTGACCTACAAGAGGGCAAATAGATATTTGAAAATCACTTTCTTGCATTAAGAAGCCCAATTTATCCAAATCACTAACATCCTTACAGCCTCACCTCTTTGATGACCTTTACGGCTATAGCTTTGGCTTCTGAAATATCATCAAGTCCACTGTGTATCATAATAGAGTCTGTATCTCCATAAATTACCTGAAACATGGGTAGCCTATCATGGAACTTTGAGCATCACTATAGACACATGCACAGATCCCATATAAAAAACTGAGAGAAAAAACAGTTTCGCTAGCTACCATTCCACAATGAACAGTCCTTGTTCAAGACAACATGAAAGACTGCTGGAAAGATAAACCTATGGCGAGCCTCTTTAACAGAAATTATCTAATATGCCCCCTGCATTTCTTCCTATTTAGGTAAATTAGGTCCTTTCAAAGATTGAGGATGTGTTGATCGGCAGCTTACAGGATAACATCCACTTAAAAATGCTTCAAACCAGTAGGATAATCAAGTTTACATAATTGCATCAATAATGATGATGTGGATTGTCACCATCAACGTTATCCAACACTCAATTATGGCGCTGGTGTCGTGTAGACACCTCCAGAAACAGCTTAGAGAAATAAATAACTCCACAAACAGCTTAGAATAATAAACGAAACATCTTACAATAATAAATAACAAAAAGGCTAGGTGTAGAGTTTAAGCACCATAGACGTGTATTGGACATTGATACTAGTGTCAGTGTCTATCCAAGACTGGAACCATATGTGTGAGAAGTACCATACTCTCAAATCATACTTCACAAATCTTGATAGTTGTGGATCATCAACATTTCAACAATGCAATGACTTGTAAAATGCAGTGGCTCCCATATTTTGGCCAATTGACTGGACTTTGTCAGAAGGGGTTAAAAAACATATTTAGACTTTTACTTTGTTGTATTTGGTTTGTGCAGTACTAGGAGATTACATTCAAGCATTATTTACTTTCAGTCATTGTTTACTCCTGATCTGATAATCATGTTCCGTTTCCTTGATCTATTTCATTGCAATTGAAGGATTATTCAATACCCAAGTAACCTCTTTTGAGATTATCCAATTTAGGTAAATTTTCTTAATGGGCTCACATGTGCATGAGGACATTCAATCTACTATCCTAGATAATTTTAGCAGAGTGCATTTCATTTTGATTTTATCCGTGGTTTTGCATAGTCCTTTGCAGTCATACTACCGATCTTCAGTACTGAAAAATTGTTGCCATAGAGATCATAAAACAGTACAAATAGGGAAAATAGCAAACTGCATCCTTAACTAAAAGAAGCCAACACAAGCATAACACAGATCAAGTGCACATCACACATGCACATGCACACGCATGGCGTGCACACACACACGCATAGATGCACGCGCACATACACACACACCTACCTTTTCCTAATTACATGTCAGAAAACATAATTAAGATCGAGGAACTCCTGATGAAGCCTACAGAAAATAACGATTGCACCATTGAAGCAAAAAACTAAATGATTTTCTCAGAAGCTCTAAAATTTATTAAGAAAAGGACCTCCAAATTTAAGTTATTCTGGACAAGGTCAACAGTGCTCTGCAAGATCTCCCGTCCCTACCAATACAACAATAAATTGATTAGTCAAGTAAATGAGAAACACTGGTTAAAGCACATTTACATAAATTCCAATAATGTCCAGGTATAGAACAGATCAATAAACGCTAATGAAATATTGATACTGAACATTATCCACACCTGTAGTGTTATGAGCTCTGCTAGTGGCTTTGCATAAAACCTTGAATTGGAGAAGCCCAAGCAACCATACATACTGGAATACAATTCAGTGAAGTCAAAAGCCTGCTGCTAAATGTGCTAACTGGGAGAAACTATATTAAAAATAGCATCCAATTGCAACAGCATACCTGTTTGCAGTTAGCTTCAAAGCCTGTTGTTGAATATCAAGCTGCTGAATCTTGTAAATATTGGAGGTCTTCTTGATCCACGATTTAACATTTCTCCTCCTCTCAACCAAATTTTTCAATAACTACAAAATTCCGAAAAATAATCAGAAAATATCATGAACTACAAAAATGTGGTAAACCTACGAATGGAACATGCTTATAAACCACCAATAAAAAGGCATGATTAGCAGAAAAAGGAGCTTCTCCATCAATTGCACGAGAACAGTGGCTTTGATCTTTGGAAAACTTCAGAAACTTTTTAGATTGACAACAGATTTAGCCAACTGGCTGCTTGTAAATATCCAAAAATTTAGCTAATGTGAATATATGATTAGAGAAATCAGCAATCACAAAATATTAGCCAAAAGAAATTTTTCTACAAACAAGATTTGGATTAGTAGTACAAAGAACCTAGAAAAACATTGGTATTAATTCATGGTTGCTCTAGACAGTGGCCCTCTGTGGGCTAGGAAGGCTCTATCTGATGTAGCAGGCGGTATTGCAACAATCAATGAAGGTGATATATTCATAATATATGTCATAAAAAAGTACATCAATGAAGGATACCTATGTTGAAGCATGAAGGAAAATGATAAACATAAATCCATGAAGAGTATATATGTTTGTCAAAGCTTTCGAACTCATAAACATTCTATGTCCATCAGCCAGCCTATCAATTTGCTGTAGATGGTATCAGACTTACATGTGTATTTACATAAGCTGTAAGAGGTACAGGAGACACAGAATGTTCAGTGTAATACGGAGAAAGACAAGAACAGAAAAAATTAGGAGATTATTTGTCAATGGTAGTCCACAATAGAGGCCACATGCAACTCTCAAGATTAGGATGGTCCCCTCAGAACTAACATATACTTCTTTCTTTAAACTTTGTGAATTTTGTTATTTGGATCTGGTCAGAATGCAAGAACTCACATAGACCTACTTGATTGTAATAAATTTAGAAAGGGATTTTTCCATAAAAATGTTAGCATTGTCTCTGAAAATTAAACCCTAGCGAAACCAAACTCAAACAAATATATGGCACTAAAAGCTAAATCAAAGTAGTGAATTAATAATCTGATTGCCCATCTACTAAAAACCAGAACGAAAGGGTTTCTTCAACACAGAGGAGTAGAAAATATCAAGGGTAAAAAATGATATGTATGCTTGCTTATATCTTTTTGTATTATTTACAAGAGAGGAGAAGCTCAACTTTTTAGAAATACCTCAGGTAGAACTCCAGTGGTTCTACTAGATGGTAAACTAGGAATTGAACCATCACTTGTTCGTTCAACTGTGGTGAAGCAGATATTGTACTCCTGTAGAATGTTACGACTATAGTATAATTAGATAAAGGGAGATTTACATATCAAATCCTGACTATTTCAATGTTGCAATCATTACTTTTTTATAGCAAGGTCAACAAGTTTGTGAGTCACCTGGATGATGGATGGATACAAACTATTGAAGTCCAGCAATAGAATATACTTGTCATAAAGACCTTTCTTAGGTTCCAACACCAGACCACCAGAGTAGGCAGGACCCTTTTTACGTTTTTCCTTATCATTATGTTGATCATCACCATCAAAATTGTAATCATCAACATTTGGATCATTGAGGTCTCCTTCCTCTGCGCCACCAGCCATTCTTCGTTTAGTTGAGGTGATTTTTTTATGAATAGCCTTGTCAGGGACAATGTATTTCTTTGAATGAAAAGCATGCAATAAAAGGTATTCCACTCTCTGTGCCCTCGCTCCCTGGAAAACAAATCATTGAACAAGATAAGGAATTTCCAAATTCACAAAGAGCCTTACATTTTCATTAGAGACAGATGTTGGATGCTCCAGTGGTGGACCGTATACCATTCACCAACGGTGTTGCCACCAGAGAAACTTTTAACTTCAAGAAGAGTTCTGAAACAATGCAGAGCAATCGAAAACTAACCTGGAGCGTCTTCCCCCAGAGATTACCACTAATATTAGTCAGTTGGCGTGTTAATGGAAGCACACTCAAATGAAACATCAATCCTAAAGATAGCCAAGCATCAGTCTCCCCACATTCCACCTGATTCCATGCACTTAAATAAGCACTCAATCCTATCTTAACAAACATGACAAAATAGGAGAACGTCTCATCCACTTAAATATTAAGAGAGATACAAGTGACAAAAATTTGACTTTGGCAGAGAACGTACAAGTTCAAGAAGGGAGTTTGCTGTTTGAAACATCAATGGAATATCAAGTGGAGCAATTTCTTTCCGGTCCTTCCGCAATTGAGTTTTGGCAAGTTGTGTCAAAGAGTAACTCACCTGGACATGCATCCTTATATAAACGTGTTTATTTAGAATAGCACAAAGGCCATAAAGATTAAATAGAATCATAAAGGTAAATACCTCCTTTAAAAGATCACGTGAGGCTAAATATGTATCACATAAAAGTCGACCAGAAATGCAGGATAACACTCCGGGACTAGTTCCACTTCCAAATAGGTTATTTCCTTTTGTAAGTTTTGGCATGGAAGAGCGTTTGAGACGGCCAAGTTTGGACCACATATTACTCGGCACCTTGCAATCCTGCAGTAATATTCAATGACAAATTTATCATCCAAGCTCTACATAATAAACAATAACCAGATAAAGGTTAAAATATGACTTGATCAATATTCTCTTCATCGAGTTAGTTTAATCAATGAGCTAGTTTCACTAAAAGGTTATAAAAAAATTACGCACCTGTGCTCGGTGAAGAAGAACATCAAGATCAAACCCAGAAATGTTGTGCCCAACCAAAACATCACTGTCTAATTTGTGTAATTCAGTCATAAAGCGGTTTAACAAGGCACGTTCACTGCAAAAAAAAGGGAAAAACAAAAACTTGAGCAATATTCTACAGCATAACTTTAAATCTAAAAAATTATTTGTCCCACTAGAAACCCTTAATCAAGTGTTATATAACCAGCGTTCCAATACTCACAAAACTCATCTCGAGGCAACATAGACTTGATCCTATCGAAGTCAATCAAAAAATTTGTGAATATGTTTTATTCAACTTGTGATCACCCAGAAGTTTATATGCACTATTGCCGTTTTCAGACTCAGTAAAAAGGCTGCCAATGGGGTTACAGGTTTGTTTTCATTCTTAAGAGTGCCTTTAAGCCTCTGTAAAATATGGTTGGTCCTAGTTTGACCCTCTTCTGCTGAAAAACATTTGAGTTGAGCAATATGCAAAGGATCACTTGAACTTCCATTACATTAAAATCAAGTTTCAAGTTTTCCAACATTGTGCCTAAGTATAGTCACATGTAGTTAGGGAAAGAAGCATGCCTGCCCTCACATACTAGCACAATATTCCCAGCCTTTTTATTTCGTTCATCAGCTTCCTTGGTAAATCCCAGAGGGAACACATCACCATCAAGCTTGCGAATAACAGTAAAATGGCTATCGGGTCGTTTCCATTCTGAAGGGCTATCAATCTACAAAGAAATAGATCAAAAATTTCAACTAAGGTAAACAATGCTCGATATATCAAACTATAAAATTAATTAACTTTTCAAGAATACGATGATGAAAGAATCTTCTTTTTAGTCCCAACAAACATGGCAAGCCGAAGGAAAAGTAAATCAGCCAGAATGGAGAGAGGCATTCAGAGGAATAAGGAAGCAAAAGATTCATAAATATAATGTAAAATGATGAAAATGCATAGTGTAATATTTATGATTTAATAATAGTTGCTGGGAGCAGGAGCAGGAGCGGGAGCGAAGTTCGGGGATGTGAGCTGGGACCAACCCCTAGCTGAAGTTTCTTACCCTTGGAGCGCTGCTCAAGGAGCGAGGAGCGATCTTCTATATACACTACATATATATGGGAGGGTTCAAAAATCCAGATTCGGCTGCCTAGGCATTTTGGGTGCTTGGCCGCCTAGGCGCCCAAAGACAGGGTCCCCACACCAAAATTGAAACCACCCCCCCTCCCCCGCCCCACAAAACAAAAAAACACAAGGGAGTGCTTAGAGCATGGTTTTAAGCCACATAGAGTTTTTTGGGCAATTTTAGAGCCCCAAACTCCTTGAAATATGAAATAGACGAAAATGTAATAATACAATCACATAACAGATTTACGGATACAAGTCTCAGAGAGATTGTAACTTGTAAGACATTAAAATGCTTGAAATCCCAATTGACATTTCAAGAAACTAGATGTCTAGACTAGAAACGATACACCAAGTCAACAAGGCAAAATCAAAAAACAAATATATAAGACTTAAATGAATAACTGAATATATAAAACCTTAGTTTCACTTTCACATAAGACGTAACCCATTAAGATATCACAGTCAATTATTTATCAACTAAAGTAAAACAAAAATAATAGAATATCAAAACATGACACATTGCACAAAAAAGGAATCAACCATTCATAAAAGACTACGATGTATGCTCAATTTCATCGTTCAAATGAGAAAATATTCAATTAATCACAAAAAAAAAAATCAATCTTTTAACTACAAACATGTAAAAATATCGTAAAAGAAAAAACACACAATTCAAAACATAATAATAGAATATCAACTAAAGTAAAACAAAAATAATAGAATATCAAAACATGACACATTGCACAAAAAAGGAATCAACCATTCATAAAAGACTACGATGTATGCTCAATTTCATCGTTCAAATGAGAAAATATTCAATTAATCACAAAAAAAAAAAATCAATCTTTTAACTACAAACATGTAAAAATATCGTAAAAGAAAAAACACACAATTCAAAACATAATATTTTGTAGCAAAATAAAATCAAAACGCTCTTTTAAATATGATAATACTTTAAAAATATCAAAATCAAATCGATGTCGGAGCAAACCTCGTCTATTGGGCCACCAAAAGTTCTGAAAATCAACTAATAGAAGCTCCAAATCCAACCACAAACTATTGCCTTTGTTTTGGAAAGAAATCGAAAAAATAAAAAATTTATTGATCTTTCGATAAATCACAAAAGAGAGGTATTTGGGGGGGTTTCTCACCCTAAAGGCCACAATTTTTGTTTTGGGAGTTTCGAATACGCCCTTTTTAGGGGGGGGAAATATATTTTTTGACCCTCACCGAGGGCCTTTTCGGCCCATCCGCAAAGTGTCACGGGGCAGCGCCTAGGTGGGCACCCAGACAATAGCGCCTAGGTAGTGCCTTGCCCCCCTAGGCGGGGGCCCAGAGACAAGGCACATAATGACCCCGCTCAAACAGCGCCTACACGTTTTTTAAATTTTTTTGCCTAGGCGGTTGGGCGGCTGAATTTTTGAACACTGCCCCATATATATATATATATTTGTATATGTACACAAGCATGCACGCACACACTTACATGCACACACAAACACACACAGACAAGTATTCTCAATTGTCAATGTATATATTATTCCATTTACTTGAATGATAAATCCTAAATGTATGTGTGTGCATATCAATCTTTTCAAAAGTGATATTTTAAAAATAAAAGAATGAACAATCAATCTTTTAGAATACATGCTAATAAGAACTTTATTGCTAGAAAGTCCAATAAAAAACTATGAAATCCAAAAAAAATAATACACTTAAGAATCTATAGAATACAATCGTAAAGAGCACACTTAGAATCGATAGAGCATACTTAAGAGTCTATATAGTTAAGAGTACACATAGAGTCTATAGACATAAAAAAATGATAGACATAAGAAAATTACAAAATTCAAAAATAGATTTTCTATTATAAATAGAAAAATTATACGAAATTAAAGAGAGATTTTGTGGTAAAAAAAGGTAATGTACCAAAATATTAATAATTAAAAATCAAGGAAAAGATTGTAGGAAGATTTAAAGTAAGATACAATAGATTCATGAAATGATACTAAATTGATTATTTAAGAAGAATGACATAAAGGTCATTACAAAATCCAAAAAATATTTTCTGCTTCAACGAAAAGTTTTTACATAAAAACTAAGGGAATAAATAAATCAACAAATTTCATACACATTCAATAAATAAATAAATAAAAGTTTGTCAATTGAGCAGATACTTTTGACAAGTAAAAAAGACATTTTGTGTAAGAACATATAATGTATGAAAATCTTAATAATTAAAACTCAAAGGAAATATTTTAGAGAAGATTTGAAGTGAGATACAATAAATACATGAAATGACAATAAATCGATTATTTAAGAAATGAAATACATAAAGGGCATTACGAAATCCAAGAAAAGATTTTTTACTATAAACAAAAGTCTTTAAATGAAAATTAAGAGAATAAATAAATGAATAAAAAGTGTCATTATGGTCATACACTTTCAAATATTATAAAACAAAAAAAAACAACAGCAATTGAATAAACACTTTTGAAAGGTAGAAAATACATTTTGTGTAAAAAAAATATAATGTACGAAAATATTAATAATTAAAATAAAGGTAAATATTTTAGGGAATATTTGAAGTGAGATACAATAAATGCATGAAATGATACAATATTACAAAATCCAAGAAAAGACTTTTTAATATAAATTACAGATTTTAAATGAAAATAAAGTGAAAAAAGCAAATATATGAAATAATTCTATCATTATAATACACTTTGAAATAATAAAAATCCTCAATTAAGTAGATAATTTGGCGGAATGGATCAAGATCCTTTGCAGTCAAGGATCGAGATCCCCTTACGGAACCATGATTCCAATACGTAGGGATCGAGATCCCCAGATAGGAGGAAACGAGTATCGCTCGAGCTCTGCTTCTGGGATCGCTGGATCAAGATTCCAAGACGGGATCACCACCACTTGACCAAGATCCTTGCAACCATTTATTCAATATCAAGTGATACATGGTATTACGATGTTTACATTACATATTAATATGGCAGAGAAATTTCAAATAGGCACCTACATTTTTACAAATAAAAAAAAAATCCCTGCAATTAACAAGGCTATGGTCTTATTTAATATTTTGTGGAACTCAATATTATTATAGTACTTCACAATCCTTGTTAAAAGGGACTACTGGAACAATTTGGTTTTCACATGCAACAAATTCGAGATAAATCGTTTTGATGAACACATGACATAGAACATCCCCTATCTTTTCAGCACATAGCTACTAGCTGGGTTCTTATTTTGGGTTTTGTCCCCTATTGTACCATAGTTATCAAGATCGGACCAAAACAATGGTCTAACCGATCGAAATGCCAACTGGTACCTTGGCCAGTGTAGTCTGAATTAAAACCAGCCTTGCTCAAAAATGAGTAAAAAACAATGTTTGACTAGTTATGGCCAGTCTGATCCAACGATATTGATCGGTTCAACTGCCCAAACAAAATTGGACATCTTTTTTTCTAAAGATATTACATATTTCTATACAATTATTCACACTTTTACTTATAATTTGTAAAATCATATCAAACCATTTCAATCGGTGGTCGGACTGGTTCTTGACTGAACTAGACCCCTCACCAATTCGGTAGCTAGTCCGATCCTTATAACACTATGTTGTACTCCCTGGGTAAGTCCCATGTTAATTTTCTGCAAATAACATAGATTTACCATGGGGTTCTTTCTTGCCAAGGTTCAAAAACGCAAAGGCGGCCGCCTAGGTGGTTTGGTGTCTGGGCCATCTAAGCGGGCGCCCAAGCACAAAGGCGGCATGTGTTGACTTTTTTAAAAATGTTGGACCCTCGACACCTCCCCCCATTTTATTGTTTATAGAATTTTCTTTATTTAATAACTTTTGTATATAATATTATTGTTAAGAAGTGGAATCGAATCAAGCTTAAGTGCCGAACCAAAATGTTTGCGTTCCTATATCTCCTCTTTTACAAACACTATAAGCTTCAAAAAGATTGGGAATGAATATCCTTTAATTTCGTGACTGTTCGAGGAGGTCGAAAAAAATTTTGATCTCTCTACAAATTTTCAAATCTTGTTTTTTTCAAGCTGTTTCTCATTCTAAACTTCACTAAAATTGTTTTTGGGAGCAAGAATGGCCCCCATAACCATTTTCCCCCCTTTTAAGGGGGTAAAATGACGATTTTAGACATTGCCCAAATGGCATTTTCTGCCATTAGGCGAGGCGGCGCCTAGGCGCTTGCCTTTTATGCCACTTAGGCAGGCGCCTAGATGGATCTGCCTAGAGCATGCCGCCTTGCCCAAGACTAGACATTTTTTAAAAAAGGCCGCCTAAGCAGCAAGGCAACCGAATTTTCAATTATTGTTTCTTGCATAACTAAAAATCGGTATTCAACTCAACTAACCATTCTAAAACATAAATAGATTTATCTATTGTACTATGTTATCTAATTTATAATTTTAAAAAATGCCCTTAATTTCCTTAACTAAAAAATAAAGTCCATATATAAAATATCATAGTTATCAAGACCAGAGCAGACCAACATACCAACTAGTCGGACCCTTGATCCGACTTGTGGGGCCGCTGACGGTACCTTAGAGGGTCTGGTCTAAAGTAAAACTAGGTTTGCTCAAAACCCGGTAAAAACTACTTTCTGATTGGTTTTACCCAGTCAGACAAGCCGATTTCAACCAATTCAACTGGCCAAACAAAATTGGACAACTTTTCTTAATATATTTCATATCTCTAAACTGTTATTCATATTTTTCTTTATACTTTTAAAATATGGTCAAACAGGTTTGACCGACAATCGGTCTGATTTTAACTGTACCAAAACTCTCACCAGTTCATTGGCCGGTCTGATCCTGATAATACTCCTCAACACAATAGGTAATATATCTATATTTTACACTTATGGAGTTTAGAATTATGCATACATAGTACATATTATCAATATATCATTCAAATAGTTGAAAATATACCAGTATGCATGTGCATAAGGGTGCATGTATCTTTGTGTGCTTGTGTGCATCTGTTTCTATGTCTACATGTGCATGTATGCATAAACAAATGTATGTATGTAGAACATGTTATACACAATGTATGTATGTAGAACATGTTATACACAAGGTATGTATGTAGACATGTATGTATAACCAAATGTATGTTTTTTTATGATGTATGTATGTATATATGTGTCTATTATTTTTAGATGTATGTATCTATGTGTGTGTGTAAAATGTGTATGCATGTGTATATATTTGTTGCATGTGTTAAAAGAATCGTACATTTCATCAAGCAGTAGTACATGGACAACATTTTTTCTCAGTCACTGAGGATTCAAACTCAAAACTAAAGGTTATGGGCCCAAAAACTTCAGAACACTAGGCTACAAGATAGAACTCCCTTTACACATACACTTTTGAATAGATAGCACCTACAAAAAATTCACTTGACCCATTGTACACTAAATACCCATAAAAAAGGTCTATCACTTACCTGTTTATCTCTGGAAAGAGAGGTAGAGGATTCAACTAAAGCATGCGAAATGTGAGGCCTACCAATTAGCATGTATCATAAACATTTCGCTTGTAACGTATGCATTACAAACTTCTTGCATGTGAATTGAAGCATAGAAGGGCTCCTTGACATTGTACCTTGAGATATGTCCCCAATGCCTATGACTACATAACTCGCAACCAAGAACTACCAAATTCAAGTACATGGAGGTTCATTTACATTCATAAGAAAGATTATTACTTAAGAAGAGAATTAATCATACTTCATGGGTACCTTGACATTGCGGTAACAAACAATAGATGCACAAACAACTTCATTCATATTTTTCTGTTGATTGATAACTGTTTTCAAATTTATTGCTGCAGTCGTCACGGTAGGGATCTCTCTTGCAGCACCTGAAGAAGTTGCTATATTCACATCCTTAGGACAGTCAACAACAACTTCCATTTTGCACCAGCTCACCTATTCAAATAACACCAACTTATCATATTTACATAAAACATGACAAAATTTCATCTTAGTAAGTTGTTAAATCATAACAACACAGAACTCATGTTCACAACCAACACAACCAGCACAAAATCATATACAACTAGCAAAATATCGTACAATATTCAAGCAGTAAGAAGCAAAATAGTACCCGTTGTAGAGCAGGACAGCTGGAAAATTTTGATATAGTGAGCCAACAGGGCCCTTTTATTTTCCTTTTTACGAGAAAGAGCTCCAAAGCACTGCATTGAACACACGCATGATAATAAAGCTTACATATAAAAATGAGTTCAAAAGTACTATAATAAAGATAATTGCATAATAAATTGAATGTTCATATATTACCAATTATAACAACAAGAAGAGTAATTAAAAACATAAGACAAGGGCAAAAAGTACAAATATCTATAAAAATGTAAACCCTAAAACAGGAGCTCACTACTCACACTTTACAGAATAATTTCATCAATAATCATAGAGAAGAGTTTAATGTTAGCAGTTTCAAAAAATTATCATAGAGAACAGCTCTGTAAATAATGTATAACAAAAGCCAGAAAAGTACTCAAGCATACACTACTCACACTTTACAGAATAATTTCAGCAATAATCATACAGAAGAGTTTAATGTTAACAGTTTCAAAAAATTATCATAGAGATGAGCTCAGTAAATAATGTATAATAAAAGCCAGAAAAGCACTCAAGCTTATAAACGTACTTGGAATGCAACCATCCATATATTTGTCCATTTGTTCAGCAAGGAGGGGACCAAAAACCACAACAAAGGGAGGGTGACAAAGAACTCCAACCACTAGGCTATGGGGAGGTTCACCTCACCATCAAATATTTTTCTCCAATGTAGTTATATTGTGCAAAGCCCCAGCAGGCCCTAAGTAACAATGATGGAAGACAGTGAAACTAGCTTTATCATGTGACATCAAACATAATTACTGTGACCATTGTTAAATTGTTGAGAAGCGTCAAAAGTTTAGAAACAATAAAGTTACAAAAGTTAAATTTTGCGGCAAATGTTTATATAAATAAACCTTGTCTAAATAATAAATGCAATTTACTGGGGCCCTTCCATCAGGCATAAATGTCTTATTTCCCAGTGACACAGAGAAGTTGGAATCAGATATAGACAGCAGAGTAAAACCTACTAAAGCAAAAAAAGCCAACATTGAAGAAGGTCACACAATATCTATAGCAGGAAGGAATAATTCTTGGACAAGGAACCAAGTAGTTCACATCCAGTCTGAAGTAAACATTCATAGGCATTCATCCATGACCAGAGCTTTTTCAACCTAAAACTCCGCTGTAGAGGTAGGGCAGAATATTTGTCCCTTCATGACAATTTTAGCATTTCCACACATTGCACCAATTTATATGCAGAATCATGATGGCAGGGCCCTATTTCCTAGGATCTGACCTCTGCAAAGAAGCATCTGAAAAGAGAGATGCGATGGACTGGAAAAGATTAACTATTTTACAAAATAATGGTGAAAAAACATAATATCCACCCAAAAATCAAATTTATTGCTAAAATGAGAGAAACCTCAAATGAAGATTTCGAAATATAATTCAGTTACCATATCCTGCACCTCCTTGGCAGCAGTGAATTATTGCCCCCATTACTTATGGGCAACTCCATCAGGTTTAGAAAACACATAAAAAAA